GAGAGGACAGAAAAGCGCCCACAGTGGAAGGGGACCCGAAGGGGTCGCCCCCCACCAGTCCTAAGCCAGCCTAAGTCAGACTTTCTCCTCACTTAAAGGCAAAAAGAAAAAGACCTAACTGATAACCCCCCTGTCTGGCATCAAGACCCTTGCAACATTTACCAAATTAAGAAAGCAAAGGCTGCTTAAATGAGCACAGATTCAAAGTAAAAGGAACTAGCTAATCTGTCAAGATATTCTACACAGGCTTTAGGACACCCTTATCCTGCTTCACGAATTGTAGAGAAATGACGCTTCAGAATCAGAAAGATCTGGGTTTAAATCCAGCTCTCCCATTTGCTTAGTAGCTGTGTGGCTGTAAGTAAGTTACTAAACCTCTCTGAGATTCTATTTCTTCAAACCTTTCAGGGTTGCAATAAGGACGAAATGAGGTCACGTATATGAAGCACTAGATATACAGTAGGTGCTCAATAAATGTACCCCCACAATGTGGTTCAGCCCATTTAGATTTGTTTAATTTAGAGGTACAGGGAGAAGGCTCATGGGGGCAATAAGGAAGGCCATCCTGGCTCCTGAGAGCTCACTCAGGGTGGATGCTGCCCCACTCTTTCATCATTCTTTTCTTTTCTTTCTTTCTTTCTTTCTTTTTTTTTTTTTTTGAGTTAGAGTCTCACTCTGTCACCCAGGCTGGAGTGCAGTGGCCACTCCTGGCCACCACAGCCTCAACCTGCTGGGCTCCAGCGATCCTTCCGCCTCAGCCTTCTAAGTAGCTGGAATTACAGGCATGCGCTACCATGCCTGGCTGATATTTTGATTTATTGTAGAGATGAGGTCTCTCCAAGTTGCCTAGGCTGGTCTCAAACCCATGGGCTCAGGCAATCCTCTCACCTCCACCTCCCAAAGTGCTGGGACTACAGACATGAGCCACTGCACCTGGTTGTTCCATCATTCTTATCCAAGAAGCAAGACAGTATGGTAGAAAGATACAAATGCTTTGGAGTAAAGAAACCTGGGCTGAAATCCTACCTCTGCTCTGTGACCTTAGGCAAGTTGCTCAACCTCTCTGATCCTTGTTCTTTTATCAGTAAAATGCGGGATGTGTTGCCTACCTCTTAAGAAGATATAAGGATGAAAGTGTGATGCTGTGTACACTGTACCCAGCATGATGGTCAACAGAAAAAGGGTGGTTATTTTTCCAGCCATAGCCAGGGATCTTCCTCAAGCATTGAGCCTTGAAACTTAGCTTCAACTCCTCAATCTCTCTGATGACCACCAAAAGCCGCATGTCTAGGCTTGACCTCATTCCACAGTTCAGACCTCCTGGGCGTCTCCACCAGGGTGTCTTCCAAGCCCGGCATGAGCTCTTGGCTCCTCCACCACCCTCTGTGGGGTTTCGGTGAACCACCTTGGCCTTGGTTTCGTGTATAACATGATGTTGGGTGTGGCAGGTGGTCGCTAATCACCATGGAGGCTGTCCCAGCCCTATCATCCTAGGATTCCCAGCGTCAGCGTGTCATCTCCCATGTCACCCACATCATCAGCACTGCTTTGCTCCACTGGACCCAGCTGGAAAACTGAGAGTCGGCTTGAATTTGCCCCATGTGTTTGTGCCACAGCCCCAAGTCTGGAAGTTTCTCTCAGAGATGCTTCCCTTTCTGTGTACCACTCCCTGTTGCCCCCACCATGATCCTTGCCCAGAGCCAAGCACCAGTCCCGGCAGGCCCCTCACAGTCTGGATCTTTCCATCCGTGGAGCCTCCTTCCCCTACAGCCTTTGCGTGGGGTCTGTGCCTCCTCACATCACTGTCAAGAGCTGGACTCCACTGCCCTGGAGGTTCTTTCTAAGGTTAGGGATAAGAAGAGGAATGTCTCTCATGGTGTTCAGATCACACCAACGATAAGATTTGTTGAATTCATGTGTTTTCAAAACACACCCTTAGGTGGTCAGCTCCAGTCGAAGACAATGTCAAAGATCCCGTTGCAAATCATGAAAGCCTTGGACCTCTGCTCCACCAAAGCACACATGCATGTGACACTTTGCGCATGATTTCAAGGGGTCCACGTCCCCCTCTCCCAAGGCCCAAACTATAAAGTACAGTTTACCCCTGATTGAGCTCATTTTACAGATGGGAAGACTGAGACACAGAGAGGAGGGGACTTGTCTGACAGCAAGCAGACATCTCTCTCTGCCAGGCACTGGGTCATCGCATCCAAGTGCCAAGTCCACTCCCAGCCCAGGTCCGTAGCTCTGGGCAGCAGGTCACTTGACATTGAACTCCTTTGTGCTGTTTCCTCATCAGTGCAAGATGGAGGAGGGAGAGGGAAGTGGGGTACCCCCTCATGGCAAGGTAGCAGTGAGAAGTTCACGCAAGCGCAGGAAACTAGTCCAGGCCTGTGCACAGAAGACAATTCTTGCTCTGTGCTTTTCCTGGCCTTTTCTCTTCCTTCCCCTGCAGGATTTGGAGGAAGGAAAAGCTGCTGCCATCTAGAGTGGTCACGGAAGGCTTCGTGGAAGAGGCGAGCCCTGTCAGGGCCTCAATTTTGGGTGGCGGAGAGAGGCAGGGGCCAAGGGTTATTAATAGGCCTGGCCCGATGGGCCCAGGGAGGGTGAATGTGATACAGACACCCAGCACCACGGTTGGGGAGTACCTGACACCGGAAGGGGAGGGGGCCGGGGGCTGCGGGGAGCGCCACCTCCCAAAATAGCCAGCACAGCCGCCTATATAGGTGGCCATCCCACCGCAGGACTCACTTCCCCACAGGACCTCCCACCAGCCCAGCCGTCAGTGCAGGCTCCCACCCAGAGGTGAGTGGCAGCTACTGAGGTTGCAGGTGGCAGGAGCGATGCGGTGGGACCAGGCCAGCTAGGAGGAACGGCCACATTCCCCTTGCCCCAGTGGCCCAGGGGTGGGGTGGGTGCTGAGAGCCGGATGGCTGCAGAGTCCAGGGCTGAGACTGGCATTCTCCACCCAGCCTCCCGGTGTGGCCTGGGGCAGAGTTCTTCCCTGGCTGGGCCTCTGACTCTCCACCTGTAGAGGAAGAGGGTGGAGCCAGACATCTGTGGACTCTGCTGGCACCATCAGAGGGGACCCAGACGGCAGAGGAGGCAGGAGGAGGATGACGGAGGGCTGATGGGCCTACCTGATGGATGACGTTGTCTGATGCTCTGGCCCTGGGGCCACTCAGCCCAGAGAGAGTGTCAGGTGGTTGGGAGAGCTCAGCACCCGGGGAACAGGGAGAGGGGAGAGGGAAGAGAAGTGAGCCCCTGCAGAGGCTCCAGCCCTTGCCACATGGTCAGTGTTGGGGACCCCTGGGAGCCATTGGGTGACTCAGACAAGTGGGGCTTGTTAGAGCGGGGTCCTGGCCCCAGGGAAGATCGCCAGGAGGGTCACCAGGAGGGTCACTGAGCTCCAAGTCAGTAGACCCGGGGGTGGGCCCTGCTCTGTCACTGCCGTGCTGTGTGTCGTTAGGCCACTTGTGGGCTCTCTCCAACCTCAGTTTCCCCACCAGTACAGCATAAGGGTCCTTCAACTGGAGTAATAGATTCTCCAGCTTGCCCCCTGGAATGAGCTGAGCCTGAGAGTCCGAATGAAGGCCTGGGAGCCCAGCATGTCCGAGTTAGCACCCAGCTGGGGACAAGGGACAGAGGTGGTGGCAGGCAGCTGAGGGGTCCCGGGAAGGCCTCGAGCCGAGAGCTATGGGGTCAGGAGCTGCCGCCTCGGCGCCCCAGAAGCCAGCTGGCAGCCACTGCTGAAGGAGCTGACTCACAGGGATGGGACAGCTGGAGCCAGCAGCAGCGTCCTAAGGTTTCCAGGAAGGGCAACCAGCCAGGGCCGAGCTAGGAGACAGTGTTGACAGTGACTGGCAGGGAACTTGAGTGCTGGGCAGCTGCCCTCCCCAGTCCCCACCACAAGGCCCGCCACAGCCCCAGCCCCTGCCCACCTGCCCTAACCAAGTCCCGCGACAAGACACCACTGATACCGACACAACAGACGGAGACAGAAACCCAGAGAAGGTCACAGTCCAAGGTCACACAGGGACTTCGTGCAGCCCAAGATCTAGAATCCAAGCCTCCGGACTCCCTGCCCAGTGCTCACACACTGCACAGGCAGCCAACTGCAGACTAGGGGAACCGTGGGAAAGAATGCCCCATTGCCCAGGGGTGAAGTTCAGACCAACATGTCTGCTTAGCTGTCTGGAAAGTGTGGTCTGAGGTGCCACCCTCTCCCCCACACACTTGAGGCCTCCTGGGAGGATGCTGGAGATTCCAAGTAGCCTCTCCCTCCCCACAAGGTTGATGGGAGCGGGAAGAGTCTGAACCAGGACATCAGGGACCAAGAGACCAGGAAAGCAAGTAGTTAGCAGATCTGTAAGAAAGGTCCTGTGAAAAGTCAAGGTAGCAGGGAAAAAAAGAAAACAAACAAGTGAGGTTTCGGAATGTACATCCCTGGCCGGATAAGGCAGGGGGCACCGGCAGAAGGCCCCAGCAGCTCGTGCCTGGCCCTGGCCCTAACCCGCCACACCCTCCCGGTCCGGTGGATCAGGTTTCGCGACCTCAGCGCTCAGATTTTGCAGCATAAATTTGCATCCAGGACAGACAGGAGCAGAGGCTGAGGTAGGGAGTGGAGAGAGCGTCGGGGCAGGCCCGCAGAGGGGCGCCCGGGCTGGAGGCCGGCCCTGAGGGCTCGGGACCTTGTCCCCAGG